CGTCTATCTGTGGCGCGTTCCTCTCGATGAAAATATCCCCGGGAAATCTCGTCATTAGAGAGCGCCAACATGATGTTCAATTGGATTGATGTTGTAGTTTGTATGACTAAATAGGAGTGCACTGTGGTCCAGTTTCGCCATATACAAATAACTAAATTGGCCAGATCCAAGAATACAAGTTGGGGTCTGGCCTGACCGGTCTCAGGGAATTTCTTTTCGTTGCACCGGCTTTGATTTATACAGGCCCAGGAGTTGACGTAGTGGAGAAGAATGGCGGCTGATTGCCTGGGAATTGAACGAATTCGATATGAAGTGGTAAGTTGACAACGGTGGATTCCTGATGCGTGACCACAGAGTCACACTGGGAAAGAAACAGAATAGATGTAGTATAACATACAACATAGACAGAGTAGCTGGCGGTGTCTGGGGTAAATAGATGATAAAGTAGTACAGCTGATTTGTGTATAGCGAAAGTAAAGCAGTTCTCGCTGCCATCTTCCGCCAAAAACACAATCAAGTATAGTTACATGCAAATGCAGTATCCGTTTTTCTCTAAGTAACAAGAAATCGATGAAACATATGGCGACTATATGAGTCAATTTGGCAATCCAAAGAACCCGTTTGAGCATCGGCAAAAACATTCTACGCAACGTAACGTCCATGTTATTATTCGTTGGGCCGCTGGCCGTTTACTAATTAAGCCGACGGGTTAGCCTATGAAGACCACAGTATGCAACCTGGTAACTTTGAAAAGTATATTGCAAATGTCGCTAGAGTTAAATTAAATCTGCTCGACTAGTAGCTAATGAGATTTATTTCCATCTGGACTTTGATCCACTTTCATCTGGAACGCTCACAGAATAAGCGAGAGGACGTTCACAATTCATCGTGTACTTAGTGGCCATGCTCTGAATTGTTCGCAACATTTTGCCTGCCACTGGTCCACATAGAAGAAGTCCAGAATTCACAGCCAGTCCCCTACCATCATCCCAAAAGCTGTGCGTACCGAAATAACACCGCGACCCATGCCATTTCCGGTGGCACAGCGCAACAATGAAGCCATCATTGAAACTGCTACCTCACTAAATGATGACTATCCGGCGCATAATCAGCCCCTCAATAGCGTAAGTCAAGGTTTATTTTTAGACTTACGTGCTTGCTTACAAAGATATGCAATCATTTTATATACTTGTCGTTATTGAAAGGTTCAACATAAGGAATTAAACTGTTAGTTTAATCAGGTATAACCTTATACTACTATATATGATTATTTAATTGTTACTAGGTGTGAAAACAGCATAGGAAATTCTATCAAATAGATTCTGCGCGTCCATTATCCTTAGCGGCATTATATTAAGATTTCCTCATTCAAGGGAACTCATAGTTGCAGTTTGTTAAGCGTTAGATAATCCTTAGACGACAATAAGTTACGGTCGAAATTGTTGACCTGAATACGCTGAAGAGTCTTTTTTTGACACTCTCAGAAACGCTACGGCGGTGCACTGTACGATATTTGGGTCCCTTTTGAAGCTTCAAGTGTCAAACCTATACATTTATTTGGCTAGACGCCAAGGCCCCGTTGTTAATAGTATCGACACAGAAAGCTGAGCAAGCTGTTTTTGCGCTATCGCTCAGGAGGCAGACGTGCCCGGCTAGCGGTTCTTCCATCGAGGTTAAAATCCCCAAGCAATTAACCCCAACCCTGGCAATGGTAACAACAAACTTAGATTTCTTAGGCATTTGAAGCATCCCCTTGGGGTAGGGCTTAAAGCTGCATCGCAGACTACGGCCACAAACTCTAACTATGCCTAAATAGAAAACCTACACAAGGCGACGCGAAGATGATAAGGAATCTTTCGTTGCCTGAATTCGCATTAACAGCCCTCAGAACAGAAAAAAACACGCATATGCAAAATGCGCGTGTTAATCAGCTGAATGATAGAATGTTGTTTTCAAAAATATCTTTAATAGTCTCTCAATAGATCACTGACTTACAAACCATATGTAATCCAGTCGACTGACCTTCTAGTCCCCAACCCGATAATCCAACATATATGCATGTCAATTCATACTCCGATCAGATCAGGAAGTGCAAAAAGTGGAAAACAGAACATGCAACTGGTAAGCTCCTCGAGCTCAAAGCAGAGGTCGTGCGATCGATACAACTCATACGTACCTATCGTATCATATAAGAATACTCTATTATTCCAGGTCACTAGCCTAAATCCACATCCAATATTGTCACAGGGCAAGTATTCGCCGCCCTGAGACAAGGAACATTGCCGCTGCGGTGTAAGATTCGAGGGCTTTTTCTATACAATCGTAAAATATATACGGTGAGGTATTGGATAGAGATCAACAGCAAGAAGCTGCCTAAACGGAGAGACAATCGAATTCCGTTTGTATATGTTTGTCTGATGGGGCATTGGAGGTTTTATCAGTCATTCAGCCGAACGGTAAGAAAAGTAACAGCAGATGTACATTCGTATCAAATTGTATAGAACCTTATTTTGGTACCACGTTGCGACGAAACCTATCCGATTAGCAAGTGCGTTGCTAGTTTTTCCTTACTAGTTTACCTTCAGCTCATCGACCTAGCCTATAGTTCAGTTTATACGGAACTACGGAGCATTGGCGATCTCAATGTAACTACTACGTTGGTTCCTTTTTAATGCAGCATTTAGTACGGCGCTGTAGTCCTTCAGCCGACTGGTAATACCCGCCATTATCATAATGAGTTTCCTTTCGGCGAGTAGCAGCGACTCGATGCACCATTATATACGTTTCGTCCACTGATCATTCAAGGTTGCATGAAGGTCCCCTCCAGGGTAGGGCGGCTGGCGAACTAGTACCGGCTGCCTGATTGAAAAATCAATAACATTGCAATACCTTATCGCTCGTCGAGGGGTGACATGTATTGGAGAAACGCTCCCAGGCTTTCGTTATCTTGCCGCTAGCGCCGCAGAACAGACATCTTCCATAAGAAATACGCTCAGAAAATGGCGTTTTATTAATGATGCGATCGTTTTAGCCATCCGCCTAATTGAGCAGCCATCGGAGAGGTATCCCGTTATCAGAGGACGTGCGAAGATGTACATTTCGATTATGTAACAACGCATGCTTCCGAGAGAGAACGAAAGTTCTAAAAATAAATATTATATCCTGGAAGTATCTACGCAGTTTATTCGGCTAAGTATATAATCGCACGTGCGCATGTATGATGCCTCAATGACGATCAAGCGAAATTTGCGGCCTCAGGTAAGCTCCTGTTACTGGCCACTTTCAATCTGGGTCTCGTTCTCTTTTAAGCAAACGCTAACCAGAGCTAAAAGTAAAGTGCGGATCAAAATTTGATCGAAATTAGGAGGGTAAAGCGATCATCATTAAAATAGGAAAATTAGAATGACATCCACTGATATTAGATAATAATCGGAATATGAAGCCCGATTTAATTCATTTGTACTTTTGCAAAGTGATGTTTGTTATCCATCAACGATACAATTGTTGCCGTTTTATTATCAAGTTATATATAAATAAATTTTTTTTTTAAATTTAATCACTATTTTACTGATACTGCGTTGCTTCGTAACGTATAACTGAAATATTCGCGTCCAATGATCTCTGTAAACGTATCGTGGACACTTTGAAGTTGACAGAACTTACTTATACTTCGAAGTGATACGTATATGATATTCCTAGCCCATTAAGGTGTTCATATATATCTATGTATACGAGACTAAATTGTCGTAATTTAAGTCAATTTTCAATAGATTTTCTAAGAAATCTAGTCTCGAGCTCGGCAGGCACTGCCGAAAAGCGTTCCAATTCCTTCCTAGCGAATTTTCTGATCATTCTTAGGGGCGTGCTACGATTTATGTGCACTTCACTGCTTTGATACCAATAGCGACAGTCGCAGCGAGTCCCAACCGGATTACCGCGAAGTAAAAGCATCACACAAGAGTTCCGTTCGGCGACTTCATCGAATTTTTAAATTTGAATTAACTACGAAATGGTATGACGGTATAACGGAAACGCCCCCTTTTACGAGTAAGCACTGTGCGTTATGCAGGCTACTTCATACCTACGCACCGACACATCGATGCGTGCTATTTAATCTATCCGTTTCATGGATGAGTAAGTCTTCCTTTGAGCAAAGTTTAATATAGCGACCAGAAGTGTGATCCCCCAATTGAATTATGACAAAACTTCCACTGAGTTTTCCTGTTGTCACGCCAGTTAGGCTGACAAATTAGGGCACATATAGGCCAATCATTGCAAAACGTATTATACGTATATTCATTGCGAGATAAAGTAGTACTAGTCGCTTGAGGCTGTTGCATTTTAATTACCGAAAAAATTTACCCAATTGAAGTATGTCGTTGTGAATCGAAGTGTTGACGTATATGCGGGTGGATCGATGTTATCGTTCAGTAAAACCCAGGTTATTTTTAAAAATTATGTCGCTTTCATAACAGAGCCCGCAGGCTTTCGAATACGGCCATGGTACAATAGCCGCTGAAATAATGCCCTAAGCATACGACCACAAGGAACTGTGTGGTCCGAAATGTGGAACCGAATGGTCATGCTATAATAGGAACTGGTGAATGTCAGCGGGCCCTTATCCAGCTCCAGTGCAACAGCTTTCCCTATGTTTCCTCTGCCTGACTCTTGCCAGAGAACTGCCTTTTTAAAGGTGCTCCTTTTTTTTGCAGTAGGCTTCGGAACATTTATCTGCACATTAAATATACGATATATCTAGAATAGTTGCCGTACATCGATGTGACAACCATAACGCAGGCTCTCCACATTGCTCACACATGCTAGCAGGCTGAACTTGACGGCTGCTCGGTGACCCTCTCCCTGTTTCGTCCTCTCCGATGCGGAGAGGCACTCGACAGCGCGCAAACTACTAGTGGCCGAGCGGCTTGGGCCGATGAGTTCCTCCGGTCAGACCGGCTTTGTCCGTACCCCATGATCGTGTGGGGTCTGTTACGCCTGTCGTGAAATATTGACTCGCATGTGCTCGATGCTCCACTGCCCAACACGATCTGATTCGGACGATCGATGACAAAATCGTCTACCATATATATATACACATATTGGGAGACAATTAAAGGGGAAAGGCCGTGCGTTCTCGTGTGTCTGTGACGTCAGCTAATAAAATTTATTGTATAATTATATTTTGCCGCGAAAGCTTACTATCGAAACGTCACTCTAAATCGCTTATTGCTACAGGATTAAGTGCGTTTGTATTTATATGGAAAAGGAGGACTGCGTCGCTTGCTAAGATCATTGCCTATTTAGAAGCAGTCCGATATCGTTTGTGTCATTATTTTCTGTTTTTGTGTGCGTGTTTACGTGTTCTATTGTGATTGGTGATTGAAGAAGCGGTGGTGTGGATACTTTGAGATCGGTTTCGTGTAACTGCTTGTGCCGATTGGATAACTCTAGTCGTAGTAGTTAGTTTTGTAGCGGCAAGCACAGACAGTAGCTAGTCGCCTACCGTCAGGAGAAGTTCCTGCTTAACATGTGTGTGTGATCATGCTGCGTCAAAGCACTGCCAATCTGACGACAACGGCGTCAACGTTGCTGTTGGTCGGTATCCTATCGGTTCTCATGATTGCCCCGAGCGCTTTCTTTCACTCCAATGGTGTCGACGCCGCTAGTATCAAAGGTAAGTAAATCAAACCGTATTTGCGTGACAATCACAGCGCGTCCGCTATTTTTCTACCTTATTCTCATCCAGCTGGACTCGTTGGTCACGTATCTGTCACCACTAGCGTTAACAGCATTATCGGTTTCACTATTATGGCAGTCATAAAACAGGGAGCGATAATACGAACATATGATGAGAATGATGATAACTCATTTTCGTCTATCAATGAATCACTTTGGTCGAGAGTCCGATGCCTAACTGCGGCTCAGATCATGAAAAATATCTGCCTCTACTTTACAGTGGTATACTATCTTATCTACCTTGTTTTTTTTCCACAACAAGCACTATTTGCTCATTTTTGAAAACAGCACAATTTCATTATAGCTGCTCGATTCTTCTGAAGTTAGCGGGAACTCGACATTGGCCGGACCATCATCAACGTGACGTCTAATAAGGAAAGTTATCTATTCAGCCTATTAGCAGCAATTATAACGGCTATCTTTTGCTTGTTATCATTGTAAACATTGCCTGTTTGTTTACTACATCTCGCTGCTTTTTGAGTAATGCTTTAGGCGAGAACACATATCTAATAGCGATCTTTAATTGCCGGTTTCGTATTGTGAATAGCACAAATTGCAAAGTTTACCGCTGCATTAGCAACGCCATCATCGACGACGACAGGACCAGCCGCAGGCCTAGCACCTTTCATCATTTCTCAGGCTGCATTATCCGACGTCGAAAATGACGACGAAGTGATCGTTCTCATTTTTGCTCGGTCTCTACTTGTCGCCCATCGTCATCGTTATCGTTGTCATCAGCCATTCGATCTTCAGTGTCGTACTGTACGTGTATCATTGACATTAATATATATCGAGTACTTTTTACTTTATTTTTTCTCCATTCCGCGACAAAATGGTTCTTGTTGCTCCTTGACGCAGCGTTTTTCCGCCCTTCCTATCGCCCATCGGCAGATCGATAGTTCGGAATCTCTCTCATCTCTTACAGTTCAACGCAGCTCGCGTCTTTGTATCATACGCTGGTTTATGGTATATGAGTGTGTGCGAGTTAGTCAATACGAGCGGCACTGCTCGCGAAAACAACGAACTGATGGCCGAACTTTTATTGCTGCTGTCAAAGTGACGACCGCCATCACCGGCGTACATTTATGTCGGGATATGGCGATGCTTCAGGGCTGGAGCAACGAAGCAACGACCGCCGGCCGGCCGGCCGGCCGTGCGGCGGTCTAGAAAAAGCAGATGCACGAACGAAGAAAATCGAAGGAACTTTTGAACACTGGCCATTGGAGACGCTTCCCATTTTTGTCGATGTTCGTATGCGTATTGGAATAAAGGCAGCACGTGATTCGATCAAATTCATCACAACGGCTTGAAACAGTAGAAGAACAACTCGGATATAACGTTACTGGCTTTATGCTATCGAACCACCGTCGTCTTAATAATGCCGGGGCTGGCGTTGTAGCTTCTTGTTTTGTTACTCGATGCTTAGCGATCTATAGAAACAACACAGACCCGAAGTCGACAAGACGCAAAAGACACTCATGAGTATCGATGAACAAAGGCGGTCCGTTGCTGTTCGTTCAGACAGTAAAAGATCGTAAAAGTTGCAATTATCGCATCTGTTACATCAAGCCTGATCAGTTCGTCAGAATCTATCGACCTATGCGCTATGTAACAATGGTACTAGACGCATTGTCGAAGACATAGGAAAAGAAAAACCAACGAGACGTGAAGGGGCATTTGAGGTCTAAAAGGGCGAGCAGCTAGGCTGAAATCGTTGGCCAGAGGAAATAATTAGGCACAAAAAATCATTAAATGCCAAATTTTCTTTATAAGAGACCAGATAGCAATAGTCGAAAGATGAAGGCCAATGTTGTCAAATACACCTCGTTCAGAAGGTACTTAAGTACGAAGGTCATCTTGGAACTACACAGGTTTTTACGCATCTTAGGTACTCCCCGTATCTCAATTGCTATTTTTTCTGCTATTTACCATCGTTACTGCACTAGCTGTAAGACCAAAACGACTTCTAGATTACCAAACTAAAGAATCTAAGTCTTATTCCTAGCTCACACTTAGGTTACAACAAGCAACTGAGTTGAAATATGTATTGTGCAAAGGTTTCGCTCTTCAAAGCGTTAAACAATACATCATTACTTAGGTTCAAATTTTGGCTTGTTTGCCTGTGGATTTTCTGCTAAAATAGCCGCCAGTAATTTGAATACTCGCATTTCATGTTTATCATTTATGGCGAGCCATGCTAGAAAAGAGGCAACTGGCTGATTACAGACGAGGCTCCTTGAACCGGGAAGGAGATGTCCATCTTAGCGAGCCCTCTGTCGCATCGTCTTTGAAGCGTCGTTGCCAGCACCATGTCAGAATCTCTCTGTCGTTTTTGTTGTTTCTCCTAGCGGATGGGTTCCCTGTGGCCAATTCCTGATTGTAATGAAATTATCCTCTTCGTTTGCCTTCGTGCTGCTTTTGACAGATAGGCCTATCTGTCTGTGTTCCTAGCTTTCTCTATAGTTCTGCCACGTCTTACTTAGTCAAGGTCTACCTTCGCAATAGCTTAGGTTTCCCTGCTTTGGGCATACTATCCTAATCATACGCTTCTTCCTAAATTCCCCACAACCGCCCAACCCCTGTGAGCCGAAGCGCAACAACAGAAGCAGCAAGTTTACCCTAGAGCATCCTATGGCGGCTTAGCGTGTAGGCCTACCCGCAACGGTCGTACCCGTCGTCCTGTGCGCCCTAGCGGTGATGCCTTTCTTTCTTGTTGTCTATGTTTACTGGTGCTACCTAGAGGAGCGGCACGGACAGGCAATTTGCAGGAGGAGTGAGCTGGACCAACGGCATGCCTTTCCTGAGGTAACGGCCTACTCTGCAGCCGTTTGTTGCTTCCGGACCGGGCCTGCCCGTTGTTCGATTTGTGACTCTACTATTGTGTTACTGTTAGCGTGGGTGAATGCGTACGTGGCCGACTGACTAGACCGTTGCCGCTTGTGTTTGCCTGGGGCGACAGAGGGGATCTCGGACTGGTCCTAACTGGGCTGAGCGGATAGGGCGTCGTTATGGAGCATCACAAATGTACAACGCTACTCGGTGCTTGGTGCTGCTACTAGTACCTGCCGGGGCCGGGCCGATATCCGTTCGCACTAGAAAACTGGCCCCAGTAGAGAAACAGAGGAGAGAAAGAGGGAGCGAGAAGATCTGTTAAACATGGCTAGCGTTTGGGAATGAGTTAGAATTTCAGGCTATTAAAACTGACACTGTGACAGAAGTGTACAACGGACGTTCGTGTCCTTCCTTGACGGTGTAAAATGAAATATATATGTCGGCAAAGATCTTGGTACATGGCGTTCTTCAGAAGATTACCAAACTAAAGAATCTAGTTAATCGCACATAACTGTGAAAATCTCCTACAATGTACTGATTGAATTTTGTCAATCTAAGACACGTAAGCTTCTTGATCCAATCGATCAACACATACACCTCGGTCAAAATGATCACCCAAGTTTGTTACTAACCTGCTTGAGCCTTGAAACTTCAAGTACTGCTAACAGAGTAGGCTATCAGCTGCCAATGCTGATAGAATTTAGTCACCGGAGAACAACTATTACGTGTTGACGTCGTCCAGTTTGCTCGTAGGCTGCGAGCGTGCTACAAGGCCTTTTTTAAAGAGCCGGTTAGACGGGAACTTAGGCGTCAATAAAGAATCGGAAGTATAACCATGGTTTGATCCGTAAAAAGATTATCTAAATTTGATTTAAATCTTACGACAACATTAAGGAGCTTTATATACGTTATTTATTCACATTTGTGTTAAAATTAATACAGGAAAATCACGTTAATGTTAAAAAAACGAAAGGGAGCTTTGAGCAAACAGCTTACCTTTGAAGTTTAAAAAAATACACTTATCTTCTATTGTCAGTTGCCCGTTAATTATCAATACGGCAGTTTTGTCTGAATGTGTATCTAACGCTTGCTCTGGCTTCTTTATTACATACAACTGTACAGCACAACCAATGAAATAAAGTCATTAATAAAGGTGTCAGGTGATACGACACGTATGGTCATTGTAGGCAAGCAAATTTCAGGTACACACCTGCCTGCGTAAAAGGCACCAATTCACTAGCGATAGTAAACAAAAGGACTAGTAAAAACCCCGCATTAAGTAAGTTCCAAAACATAAGGCCGTGCCATAAAGCTACCACTGAAGAATGAGCACTAGCGGAATCGTTTGATCTTTAACTTACATAAATTTAAAAAAATAAGACAAACCTTTAAAAAAGAATACGTTTCGAAGAAGATGCCGAAAATATAACAATCTGACGCATCGTTATCGCATTTCGTAAACAAGCACACGTGTCCACTTGGTGTTTTTAATTATTTGCGCAAAAGATGATGATAGGCGATTGAAGGACGGGTTAAGTGGACGGAGCTGAAATATCGTTTTTCTTTTCTATTTCACTGACTGTGGAGGTAAGAAACAAAAACACGATGCATCTTACGTGTTCGTATACTTTTCCCCCTTTCAATAAACGCCATTTCCCGTAACGCTCTTTGTTGCATTCCGGTGTATCACTGTTTTCGTTTCTGCCGCTATATATAAACTATATATCTTCCAGATAGATATGCAAATATCGTAAAGATTATTGGGATCATTTTTATATTATAAATTTACCATTGATATACTCGTTATACGTGCTTGCACATATACTCATATCTGGGTGCATGCGATACGAGCCATGAAGGGTCGTGCATCCATGGCGTCAGCACGATCAAGACATTATCCAATAGATAATTTATGTCCGTTTCGTGAACCTGTAGCTGACTTGACATGTTGCCTTCGTCGTTTTGAGAAGCCATAAGTACAGCTGTTCATGGAGCAGGCGTACGCTAATCGAGACGCGAGAGCCGACGCTCGCAGTGTCCCTGCTCGCTAGAGCGATCTGATCGTCGATTATGACGAGAATGAGACATCGAAACGATGGTTGCATT